GACGTAACAAAATATATTTAAATAGAAGTACGATATGGTTGTCTGGGTTTCCTTTCCTGATTGCGTTGAGTCTTTGCAATGTGTTTACGATTTGTATAATTATTGTTGTTTTCCCCGAAAGAGAAGACAGAAGGACCATGAAGTTAAACTGAATAGAAGTCCCACGCATAGACTGAGTGAAAGAAAATATTTCTAAGGCTAAAATAAAACCTAATATTACACTTCTTTGTGTATTTGTCAATTTTGCATATATTTGGTATGACAGTATGTTCGTAAATATCTAGAAAAATCTCGTCTTTCGTTAATAATTTCATTTGTTTGAAATGTCTACCGATCGTGTCCCAATGATTTGTTTGGAATATCAATCCCTGTTGGTTTCTCCAAATGGCCCCACAACCGTCATTCAACACAAGCAGCATTAATTCATCGTAATTCATGGGGATCTTCTTTTTCCCATAATTTGCGGGTTATAAAACCATAATTTTTTTTTACTTTGCGAAACACAGTCCCTCAATTGAGGGACTGTGCGCAAAACTACAACAAAGCTAGAGTTGTCGCAGTGAAATGGCCTCTTTGAAATCGATGCAACTTCAACTATCCGTTTTTCATCTTGAAATAAAAAAAAATCTATATATATTATATATATATTAATATATTAATAACCAGTCTTACAAATCGCAAGCTTTATTATCGACAACTATTTGCTACCATTATTTTTATAAATGACTCATTTCACCCCTTGCATACACCCGTTTTCCTGGTCTTAGTTTTACCACTCACAAACAACACATTTGACTCCTCGCATAGGCCTTTTCTACCACTCGCAAATGATACATTTTACCACTCGCATATGCTGTTTTTACCACTAGCATATGGCATATTTTGCTACTTGCGACTCGCAAATTGGTACTCGCATATGGCATATTTTCTAGGTCGTACATGCTAAATGCGTACATCCCTAAATGCTGATTTCTCTCAACCTGCAAACCACAACATATTCTGTTCATCATCATTGTACCACTGGTCAGTGGGGAAATTGAATTCACTATCAAACCCTAGCTACCACAATGCAGATTAACCATACTTCCAGGTACCGCTACATACTAATGTAAATCTTACCTACATATTCGATGCCTTCCATTTGGCTTGACAACCATACCATCAGTGTTCCCAAAATATTAAATTATCTAATTTGATAACATTTAGTTAGTTTTGAGCTTTTCTCACCAATATCTCAAGTAATGACATTGACAGTGACTTACTTAACAGTAGAATAATTAACTGTGTCAAGCTCTGCATTAAGATCACATATGTATGAGAGTCGCATCTTGCCAGAGGCTATTTTAATCTCTATATCAACCCATAACTGAAATCAATTTTGCGTTTGCTGTTTTTCCAACCCATCCAATCCTGGTAATGTTTTTCCTTTGCCTATTTTTTTGTTAGCTTTGATAGTTTTCTTGGTAATTGTGAAACCTTTAGTAGAACAGTTATTGTTATATAGGTCTCTATTATACAAAACAGTCAAACTGAATTTGTGCTAAAATTTGAAAAAAATTGTCAAACAATCAATGTACACAAATTTCACATTTAGGCAGGTCCATGTATCCTTGTTTCCATCATTGCAAATTTGTTTCTCAATCCTGGGTTTCTTGTTTTTTTCCCAGGAATTTTGTGAAGCTTTACAACAAACTGATCTAAAAGTTTTCAGAAATTATTTTAAGGTAACTTTTTTCGTTTGTTAATAATTATTACACATTTCACATCATGTCACACATATGCATAATGTTTAAATAGAAACTGCTCAATCCTAGGGGTTGGACAAATTGCTCATGGGTAATTTTAATTCTATTACTCTGCCCCTCTCCACTATGTGAACTAATGGTTCTCATTATTCCCCTTACTTATTTGAAAGAATTACTAGTAGCTTCGCGGTGAGTGGCTTTCGCGGTAATTGGGTTTCGTATCTGTAGGGTTTTGCGGGGAGTAGGGCTTTGTCTCAGTAACTGGTCTTTTCATTGTTGTTGAGAATTAAAGTTTTATGTTTCTTTAACAACTGGCACTATTCTGGGAATACCATCCTGGCAGGAGTTCCAAAATAAGACCCATGCTCTGATAATGCCTCTAGTTTCAAAGACCAATAAACATTACCATTATGATCTTATTGGTGTTGCAAAGGATAGTTGAATATTGTTTATTGAAATTAATAATCCCCATAATCGTTTTCCAATATAGTTAAATTGAAGTATACATTTACATTATTAGCCCCCGCCGGATCTGCGGGGTATTAATTTGGGTCGTGTCTGTGCATCTGTGTGTGCACATTTTCACGTTACCAGCTTTTTCTCACACGTGTGATCCAATTCAGTTCAGAGTTGGTACAGAGACAGGAATTGATGGTGCTATTATGCACATCAAGTTATTTTTTCGATTTATCAAAGTTTCACTGTGTTTTTCTTTGATTTTTAACATTTTTCCTTCCAAACTGCTGGAAAATCAGACTTTTCCCGAAATTACCCGAGTTTAATTCGAGTTTTGATGACGCATACGCAGTTCTCGTCTCGGTGGAAATCACTGTCATTTTGGTGTGAGGATGTTGGATCCCGGAATTGTATCTTTATTTGCGCAACGCTCATATGGACAAAATTGTGTCTCGTCAATTTCAAAGGTAAGAAACTGTGCTTGTTATGGTATCTGTACACTTTGAATTATCGTTTGTGTCTCGGGTTTGGTGATCGTGAGAAACTATTGGGGCTAATCTGCACTGGCTCAGAAGGTTGTAAATGATTAGCTAGTTTGAATTTGCATAACAATACTGACAATGAACGTGCATTCAACGCCACAAGTTTTTTTGTTTTTTTAGCCAATCAGAATTCATCTTCCGAGCCAGTGCAGATCAGCCGAACTATTGCTAACCTGGCGAGAGTTTCGCCAGAATAACTGCCTTTTTATTATGGTTGTAGGAACTGATTATGTATTGTGTAAATTGAAAGTTTACCTCGTGATTTAAGAGGTTTGCAGTGCTCTCTCCGGGATTCAAACGTGGTGGTGGTGTTGGCGCAATGCTGCTCTGAGACGCGCTTGCCAGATTCTGCCTCGCTCAAAATCATTATCGCCATGCTTGATTTCCACAACATTTACATTATGATTTCCACAGCTATTGTTCTATGACATGCGTCCTCGCCGTTCACAAACAGCCATAAACAAGTTTAGTTGGGTCGGCTTGTACTCATTGAAAGTGTTGGTTTATTTACGTAATCCACTGATCACGCCATATGCGAAGTTAAAAATATGTCACTACTCGGAGAGCTTGCCCAGAACGCTACCTATAAACGCACCGGTACGTTTATTTTTTCCCCAAAAATTCCACCCGGTACATTTATATTTGGGACGGTACGTTTATTTATTTTTCTAAATTGGGCCGATTAAAAAAAATCATGCTCTTTTCCCATGAAAAACAAAGCTAAAAGATCGCACTAAAACATCAGTAAATCTCTTCCGTGTTGCTTTCACCATGAGGTAGCTGAACTGTCATATTTAAATGCTTTATGGTAATTTGAGCACATGGGCACCATCCAGCATTTTGATTGGTTGGTGAGCGACTTGACCTATCTGGTCAAAAAACACGCCTCTTGTGCATGGATAACATGGCGGATATTGTATCGCATCTAGCGTTAGCATGTAACCGAAATCATTTGTTTACGATAAAACTAAGTTGAATTTTACTTATAATACGTTAATATAATCAACACTTCGAAAACAAGTAAGCTACCGTACCGTGATCATTTGCTACTAACAAAAAACATAATGCATATTAAATATAGTGAATATTTTTTGTTGTCATGTGAACAGATTTTTTGATTGACTTAATTTTCCAACATTTCATGACGCCCATTGTAGAACCAAATTAAGGCCTTTCACTCCTCCTTGATGCCTATTTAAAAGATTATACGGCATCTTGCTTTTCACCAGCCACGAAGGTCACACTAGTAGACGAACTTGAGCGATACTGCCGACCATTCCATGCATTTTTTATCGACGCACGACGACACGCAAATCGAGAAAAGTATTGTCCTTGCAACAATTTTGCGCAATACGTCACCATTGTACAGTGACTGATTTTAATAATAATAATATTTATTCAACATTAAAACAAACTACCGTGAGTTGTTCTATGGTCGTATAAAAATAAAATAAACTTCTGTGTAACATTAAGATACAGTAAAGTTAACCAACTAAACAGAATGCTAAGGGATTGGTCAGTTAGGGGGGGGGGGGTCGGTGGACCAGTAGGGGGGTTACCCTGTTTTTGATTGTGCGAATAGGGGGGTCACCCTGTTTTTGATATCATGAATAAGGGGGTCACCATGTTTTCCAGAATTCACACACGCACTCATGCATATATTTTTAAAAATGAACAAAAGATAAAAAAGTTAATCGTACAAATATGTTCTTAATAATAACTATTACCTATATTTATTTAAAGTCTGAAGTCACCATTGTATAAGATATTTACTGGATTTATCCAATTATAACATGAGACGGAAAAACAACACAGCAATTAGTACAAAGAGCAGTGACAGTTTTTGTTCAGCAAATCAAAAAAGTTAAATTTGGGAAAATGCTGATATATAAATTAAAATAAATGATGAAAAAGTAAATAAATATTTTTTTTTGTTTTTTTAACTTTTAAATATGCATATTTTGCTCTGTAAAATACCTAAATCCAACACAAATTTAAGCAAAAATCAAAGTTTCCTTTGTTTTCATAAGCACAGACTGTGCTTTGGGTGTAAAGCTTTCCTGGTCTATAAGATATGAAAGATATTTTAAATCCAACTTAGTTTTCAAAGAGTTCAAACCGCCTAGATTCAAATCCTTTTTTCCTATCTTATAAGGGCGTTTATCGAGTGAGTACTCCACAGCTTTGCTTTTATTTACTATCTTTAGCAGCATAGATTTCCCTCCTTCCTGCAGCCTTTTCTGTAGTCATTTTTTGGCTTTATGCTTCCCCTCCCCTCCTTAGGTGCAAACACTAAAAATTATATCAAAATTATGGCAAACCATGATATTTTCAATGCACACATAATACATTTTGTAATCATGTCAGAGCCAAAACTGTTAATGTTTCTTTATTTTGTTTTTGTTTTTGTTTTTTGTTTTTTTTTTGGGGGGGGGGGGGGTCAGCATGTTTTAAAATATATTGTTGGGGGGGTCACCCACTTTTTTTTTTTATTTGATAGGGGTGGGTCAACTGAGATTTACAGCTGGCTTAAATGGAATCTGCCGATACCCCCCCCCCTCCTAGGCTGAAGTAACTGATCAATCCCTAAATAAAGCTAAATAAAATTACAAACACATTTAGAATCACAATAAACTTGTATGATACAATACAATACACAAACTAGTATTGCTAAGCAGTGGAAAATCACATTCACATTAGAGTCATAACTATGGAAAGAATATTTTTATATTTGGTGGAGCTGCTCATATATCATCTGCATACATTTTTGTATGTATTGTGCAGTTTTCCAGCCAGTCCGACTCGATTAGTGATTGGT